TAGAAAAAAATTAGCCGGGCAACTAAAAATATAAAAATTAGCCAGGCGTGGTAGTGCGTGCCTGTAGTCCCAGCTACTCAGGAGGCTGAAGCAGGAGGATTGCTTGAACCCAGGAATTCGAGGTTGTAGTGAGCAAGGCTGATGCCACAGTACTCTAACCCAGGCAGTTGCAACCCAGGCAGCAGCAACACTCTTGTCTCAAAAAAAAAGAAAAAATAACCACTTTCAAATGGGTTATTTATTATAGTTACAAAATTTAAAGAGTATCTTTAAAAATAATCTTAATAAATAAAACTACTATGCTTCCACAAGCATATAAAAGAAGTCTATTTTATTCACAGAAGGTCATATAAATTTTGTGATATTCAAGCCTCCTTTTTTAATCCCACAAGATGCAACTTGAGAACTTACAACTCAAGTAGCCCCAAATCCATCATCAATATAGCCTGAAAAAAGAAAATCTGAATTAAAAAAAAAAAAAAAAAACCTAAAAGGGTTCAACTTCAAGTTTACACCTATCTTTAAATCCTTTTTGGAATCACCCTTGATTCCAAAACAGAAGTGGGAATAGAAATAACACATGTATTAAATATATAGAATGAGAAAGGAAATCAGATGCAGACCACAATCAGCAGCAGCTCTTATCATGTGGAAGATACTGTTCTCACAGCTTTATAAATATTGACTCACCTAATACATAAAATCCTGAAATACAAGTGCTATTATCAGCCCCATTTCAAACTCAGGTCTAAAACTCACTCTCGTTAGCACGATACAATAGCAAATAACAATACTGGTAAACTGGTGAAGAAGAATGATATCTGACTACTTCCTAGCACAGAGAAGAGACTGATTGTTGCTTCATGAATTAATATATTGGAGACAGGAAACATCTCAGGAGTTTTGCAGACCTTTGCCCTGAAGGAATATGTGAACGTGTTAGTTTGCATATCGAAAGCTATTTCACCTCAGGAGGGCATCTCTGAAAGACAGTAGCAGCTGAATCCCACAAGGTGCCAAGTTCTCAGACCTAAAGGTTTGGATTTGCTTTGTAAAGCAAAGCAGATCTGTTAAAAACTACAGGATGAGGGCTGATCAAAGAGTGCCTGCCGGGAACAGACAGCCCCGGTGGCTATAAGCAATTAGCCCAAGGGACAGTTCCTGCTTAAAACTCCGGACTACCTGTCTCAATTCACAATAACCTGATAAAGAAAATACGGAGCCAATATATCTCTGTTTAACCTCTCTGTTAAGTGATTAGTTTACCTTAGAACTTAGAAGTTAGTCTTTGAAAGATTTTGTAACCATTTGTTCACGTAGATAGAATTAGTTAAGGGATCTGTAGAAGCCTCTTGCAAAACTGTTAACCTAAGAGGAACTACCTGCTGTTATGTAAATCTGTTACCCCTGGCAACTGATCTCTGTACTTATAAATGACCATGTAAAACTTCACTCATGGCCTCTGAAATTGACGGAGAAATCCAGGCCCCCTGAGCACCCGCTTTGCCTATAATCTTTATAAATCTATAAAATTATACCTTCGTCTCTGTGTATTCTTTTATTTCCATTATTTCCCATTTTCTATTATTTTCTTATCCTTTGCAACCTTACCAAAGGGACCCAGTTTTTTGCTGGGAATGTGGCCACCCCTCCTTGCAACTGATAGCCCTGGAATGTTTTTTCCTTTCTCTATAGCATTTGACTCCAATTTCTTGAAGATATTCTCTTGATTTCTGGATGACAGTCTAATTTTTCTGCCAGTTCCTTCCCTTTCTCTGCTGACCAGCTCCTTTTTCTTCTTCAGATCCCTAAATCTGTTCATTTCCCCAGAATGTTACTCCTTAGGTTTTGACTCTTCTTTCTTAAAAATTCAATCTACTTTGACAATTACTATCTTTTTCCTAAAAGCACCAAAATTACCCTCACCCCACCCACCCACACCAATTCTAATTTTTAACTCCTCATTAGACATTTCCACTTGGAATTTTCCACCATCATCTCAAACTCTATGAGGCTACATTCTGTATTTTTCCCCCCTTAATTTTTTACTATAGGAATTTCCCAACACATACAAAAGTAGACAATAGCATACGAATCCATCAAACAGTTGTTTAATATGTACCCATCATACAGTTGCATCAACAGCTCAGGGCCAATCTTGTTTCGTTTATTCTCCTACCCATTCTCCCCCCCTGTATTATTTCAGTATGTACCTCTAAACAATATCTTTTTTTAAACATAGTTACAATAACATTTATTATCAACTCACTCCAAATTACCAATAATTCTAATCATACAACTTATTCTTCCGGACCTTCCCAGGCTAATTTAACTGGAATACATTAGAACACAAAAGGCACAAGTATGCCTAGCTGTCAATGGAGACTACAGTTCTAGGAAGGCTTATGCCAATTTAGTTTCTAAAATCCATTTACTTTCAAAAACTAAATAAGCATATTATAATTCCTAGCCTTAAAACTATTCTAGCCAGGCGCAGTGGCTCACGCCTGTAATCCTAGCACTCTGGGAGGCTGAGGCGGGTGGATCGCTCAAGGACAGGAGTTCAAGACCAGCCTGAGCAAGAGCGAGACCCCGTCTCTACTAAAAAATAGAAAGAAA